TCTGTTTTTTGGTTTTTTTTTTTTTGAGACAGAGTCTCACTATGTCACCCTTGGTAGAGTGCCATGGGTAGAGTGCTGTCACAGCTCACAGCAACATCAAACTCTTAGGCTTAAGTAATTCTTTTGCCTAAGCCTCACAAGTACTGGGACTACAGGTTTCTGCCATAATGCCCGGCTTTTGTTGTTGTTGTTGTTATAGTTGTCGTTGTTTAGCAGGTCCAGGCTGGGTTCGAACCTGCCAGCTCCAGTTGTATGTGGCTGGCACCATAACCACTGAGCTATGGGCGCTGAGCCCCAGCAACCTATTTTTTTTTTTTTTTGAGACAGAGTCTCACTTTATCACCTTTGGTAGAGTGCCATAGCATCACACAGCTCACAGCAACTTCCAACTCTTGGGCTTAGGCGATTCTCTTGCCTCAGCCTTCTAAGTAGCTGGGACTACAGGCACCTGCCACAATGCCCGACTATTTTTTTTATTGTTGTTGCAGTTTGACTGGGGCCGGGTTTGAACCCGCCACCCTTGGTATATGGGGCCAGCACCCTACCCTTTGAACCACATGTGCTGCCCCCAGCAACCTATTTTTAAAGATATCTATACAAATGGTATGTTCTCAGATCAGTTTTCATTCATCTTGCCCAACTTTCCTCTACTTTAGGGCAACTTACTTTATTTTACTGAACTAAAATTACCGATGTTGACAGAAACTCTGAGATACCTTATCTGTACATCTTATAGACACTGCCTTGCTGGCCAGAAACAGCTTCAGCATCCTAGATTTAGTCCTTACTTCCGTGTGGCTTATCTTCATTGTTTTTTTTTTTTTTTTTTTTTGAGGTGGAGCCTCAAGCTGTCCCCCTGGGTAGAGTATGATGGCATCACAGCTCGCAGCAACCTTCCAACTCCTGGGCTCAAGCGAGTCTCCTGCCTCTGCCTCCAAGTAGCTGGGACCACAGGTGCTCGCCACAACGCCCAGCTATTTTTTGGTTGCAGCCGTCATTGTTGTCTGGCGGCCTGGGCTGGATTCGAACCTGCTGCTTTAGGTGTATGTGGCTGGCACCCTAGCCACTTGAGTCACAGGCGCTGAGCCTATCTTCATTGTTTATTAGACTTTTTCCCTGTTCACTCTTTCATATCAGGTTGTGGGTTTTCACAGTGAAGAAACCGATGGATGAATGAAGTCAAATGTCCTACTTTTACAAAGCAGTAAGTGGGGTTGGGGCAACAGTTGAGGAATGGAGAGGAGATTGGGTATACAGAAACCAGCTTCTTTACAGCCATCGGTGGCTAAATTTAATTCTTACCTGGTCCAGTTCTGAGTTACAATATGGTAATTGCTTACCTTCTTTTTAGCTCTGTGTACCAGTCACTGTGCTGTGCTCCTTACATTTATTATTTCATTCTGTCTTCTAACAACCTTATGTCTGGAGACTATTATCCTCATTTTCAGAGAGGAGAAACTAATACTTGCTAGTCAAAGAGAGGAAGTGGAATTTGAGCCCACATCCTCTAATTTCAGAGCCTTTTTAATTACTCTGCTATTTCACTTCCTATCTCTTTCCACACCAGAGGTAAGTTTCAACTAGTTTTTGGCACCTGCACCCTGTTTTCAGTACTAACTAGATCTTTCCTCAGGTTCTTTTCTTTCTCAAGTTCCCATCAAGTCTCTAGATGAATTTACAGAAAACTAGCAGTCCAGAAACCACTCCTTGGAAAAACCGATTGTTCCAGATTAGTTGAAATGTGGAAACAGCATGTCTCGAGAACACTACTGTGGTATTACAGCCAACTAGGCACTCTTCTTACTTGGTTCCGTTTCACTTGGCAATCATTTACTGAGTTTGTATATGATTTGCTAGGTGCTATGAACATAAAAAATATGGCATGGACTCTGCCTTCATAGAACTTTATGGTCCTTTCCAGCGGTCCCTGCTGTGCCTTCTACTCTGGCTTATGGTCAGTCTCGTTTCTTTTCTTTGTCCTTCTAAACTAGAAGTTACTTGAAGCTTTGGTATTATTAATGAGACTTCTTTCTCAATATCCAAATTCCCTCTGTTATTACTGGCTTTATGACATTTATCTTCTCCCACTTTATGGTCGTCAGTCATAATCATTGATTTATGGTTTGTATTTTAAAATTATTATTATTATTATTTTGAGACAGAGTCTCACTATGTCACCCGCAGTGGAATGTCTTGGCGTTACAGCTCTTAGCAACCTCAAACTCTTGGGCTCAAGTGATTCTCTTGCCTCAGCCTCCCAAGTAGCTGGGACTATAGGTCCCCACCACAATGTCTGGCTATTTTTTGTTATTATTGTTGTTGCAGCTGTCATTGTTTTAGCTGGCCCAGGCTGGGTTCGAACCCGCCAGTCTCGGTGTATGTGGCTGGCGCCCTACCCACTGAGCGGGGGCACCGCTTTTAAAATTATTTTTATATAAAAATATAGCCTGTTAGTTGGAAAAACTTCAAATATAATAGAAGTATATAAAGTAAAAAATGGAAATCACCCTTTACCTCGTCTGTACAGTAACACTTAATATATAAACATGTTTTAAACAGTGGAATCATAGCTTGATGTTTTCATTTATCTATATATTTTGCATATCTTCCCACATCTGTGCCTAAATATCTACGTCATTCTTTGTAATGACCACATAACATGTCAATATATGAATATACCATAAATATTTAAACAGTCTTTTATTAATAGATATTTAGATACCTATACACATAGGGCTGTTCAGACTGCTATGACACAATGTTGAGTAATTTATAAAGAACAGAAATTTAGGCTCGGTGCCTATACTCAACCGGCTAAGGCGCCAGCCACGTACACCTAAGGTGGCGGGTTCGAATCC